ATCAGACAGTGCGCCATTTCCAAGATTTATAGACTATAAATTATAGTCTTTATATGGATTTATAGTAATAATCGATGTATTTGTTGTCATCAATCCATAACAATTGAAAAAATATTTTTTATGAATCAGATTGGAAGTGTTAGGTGACGAAATATGTTGGAGTCATTTTTTTCTGTAATTAGATTTGAAATCTACATTTAGAAAAAAATTCATGAAAAAAATAATAAAAAAAATTAGGTATAATAAAAAAAAAGATTTAAAAAAAGGAATATTAAAAAATACTTAAAAAATAGATATAAAAAAAATTAAAAAAAAAGAAAAAAAAAGGACTATAAAAAATATATAAAGAAAATAAAAAAAGAACAAAATAAGAAAAAAAAAAAAAAAATAAAAATATAGTAAAACAATCACTATCAGGATCTAAACCTCCGAGGTGTTGAATAGGGTTTATGTCCTAACGTAGTAAAAAAATATATATTACCATAGTTGTATTCATTAACAGTAGGTAGGATTTTTTTTTTATTTGTAAGATTTATACACTATGTATTTCGCATGATGTCTTTCAATAACTGAATTATCACTTAATATTGTTCTGAAGTTATTTTCTTGTGGCATTGTAAATTAATTACCATTAAACTGGGATAAGCCACAATTAAAGATAAAAATACGTTTATTGACGTTTCAATTTCCATTTCGGATTTTCGAAGTGGAAATTGAAACGTCAATAAACGTATTTTTATCTTTAATTGTGGCTTATTCCCAGTTTAATAGTAATTAATTATAACTGAACCACTGCATTATAAAAAAGGTATAATATAGTATTTATTAACATAGTATGTACATTAGCTAAGTACGGAATAATTATATTATTATTATTATTATTAATATTATATTAATCATATTAATTACTATTTAACTGGGAATAAGCCACAATTAAAGATAAAAATACGTTTATTGACGTTTCAATTTCCACTTCAGAAATCGTTCTCAAAATACAAACAGTAAATTAAACAAATTTTGTTTTTTGTTACATAGTGAAAAATTCTTCTAATAATTTAATTTTATCTGACTCATTTATATTGACAATTCAGACATACATTACGCATTTTAAAGTAGACGACTTTAAAATGATATTGCCAATATTATTGACTTGCGCTCCTGGGACGACTTTACTTATAAAATAGTTCATTCGATTACATGAAATCAACTTTAACTTGAGAATATACGTCAGAAAAAATCATAGCATATAATTCGTCTTTAAAAAGACAAACACATAACATGATGACAGTAAAATTCTCCTGTTAGTGATTCCATAGTAAATTATGAGGGAAAAACCAGGAAAAAAACCTCATAATACTATCCCGACATTGTAAGTATTTGTTCGTGAATTTAGTTTACCTTCAACAAACATCAAAATTCTGATTTTATATGTTACGTTATTTAAAAAACATAAATGATGTATCCTCTATATGTTACTGACTTACTAATACTGGTATTTTCTTATTAATAACTTCCTCTTTCAATATTGGTAACCAGATCCTACTACATTCTGCCGAGGAATTTGTAGGATGTAGTAGGATCTGGTTACCAATATTGAAAGAGGAAGTTATTAATAAGAAAATACCAGTATTAGTAAGTCAGTAACATATAGAGGATAAATCATTTATGTTTTTTAAATAACGTAACATATAAAGTCAGAATTTTGATGTTTGTTGAAGGTAAACTAAATTCACGAACAAATACTTACAATGTCGGGATAGTATTATGAGGATTTTTTCCTGGTTTTTCCCTCATAATTTACTATGGAATCACTAACAGGAGAATTTTACTGTCATCATGTCATGTGTTTGTCTTTTTAAGTAAAGTCTTATAAGTACTTATAAGTAAAGTTGTCCCAGGAGCGCAACTCAACAATATTGGCAATATCATTTTAAAGTCGTCTACTTTAAAATGCATAATGTATGTCTAAATTGTCAATATAAATGAGTCAGATAAAATTAAATTATTAGAAGAAGTTTTCACTATGCAATAAAAAACAAAATTTGTTTAATTTACTGTTTGTATTTTGAGAACAATTTCCGAAGTGGAAATTGAAACGTCAATAAACAAATTTTTATCTTTAATTGTGGCTTATTTCCAGTTAAATAGTAATTAATTTACAATGCCACAAGAAAATAGCTTCAGAACAATATATATTAATCATGTTTCACTAATTGACATATTTAAATTCTTTAATAAAGCTCATGTTGATTGAGACTAGCTGAATGATAATTGTCCAAGCCAAGAGAAAAAATGTTTTTGTTAAAAACACTATATAAACAATATAAGATTGCTATTGAATTTGAAATATTAAAGGTGAATTCCGGTAGATTATATGGAAAAGTGACACAATTTTACTAAAAAAACTATAGAAAATCCTTTAAAACGAGAACTTGTAAAGTTATTTTTGATAATTTGTTGCATAATTGTTGAAAAAATAGCTTCAAAAGTTGATTTTGTTAAAATTGAAAAAATGCGCAAAAAAAACTTAGATTTCGCATCTAAGTTTTATATCACATAACCGCTCTGTGTCCAATATGTCTTGTTTTTTGAAGAGGGGTATTATAATACTTGATCTACATTATTGTGGTATTCTGTTGTGTTCTATTATTTTTGGACTAGTTTTATCATTAGTTTGGCCAGATACGTACTTTTGGAGTTCATTCGGTATTCTGTCCTCTCCTCGTGATTTTCTATTTTTTAATTTCCTTAATGCTTCCTTTACCTCTCCCTCAACAATTTCTTCGTTCTCTAGCAAAAAGGGATCGAAAGTAGGCTGCCCATGTTTCCTTCTGAATATGTTATGTTTTTATTAGTTCGTTCATCTCTTTTTTTTTGGCCTTGCATCATTCTCCATATTTCTTTTTGTGGTCCGCAGAAGTCGTGTTCCATCTGTTTTGAGAAGCTCTGCCATTGTTCCGTTTTTATTTCTCTGGCTAAAGTATTCGTTTAGAGTGGTTGTATGCCTGTTATGTTGGTTGGATTCTATATTGTAAAATGGTTTTCCTATTTTCTTCACATTTTATCTTCACGTCCTCTTTAATACCATTGAGATTTTCCCAAATTTCCTCGATGCTATATCATTTTCTAATATTTCAGTCTCAGCAATCTTCTCTAATATTCTTTTCTCTCTCTCCAATGGCGTTACAGGGCAAATTGAGTCTTGATCTCCACTAACCTTGCAGGTCCCACGTCGATCTTCTCCAGGTTCTCACGTTTAGCAAATTTTACGCGTCCGCTGCCAGTTCATCTTCCCTCCTTTTTCATAGCCTTCCTTTTGGTCATGCGCCCTCCATTTTACTGTCTAGGGCTCTTTTCGGCAATCTTTTGGTCTTCATTCTCACTACATGGTCAGCCCGTAGTTTAATGAATTCTAAAATCAGTGCCTGTTTGAACCGTTCGTAAAGTTCATGGTTTTATCTGGATCTCCATACACTGTTTTCGTCAATAGTTCCAAATATCTTCTTTACGACTTTTCTTTCGAAGACTTCCAGCTTTCGTTTTGTGTCTTTTCTCATGTCTCGCATTAACAACATACTATTGGTCTGATAATAGTTTTGTAGACCCTAATTTTTGATCTCCAGTTTCTCCAATTTCTGTTTCTTCTATTTCATCCATGCAACTCCCAGATATGTGGAACTTTCTACAATTTCAATATCGTCCTCCAATTCAACTCTGCATCTAGTTCCCCAGGCTCTTGCCTGTATTTAACTTTTTTGTCCTTTAAATATTTATTCTTTGCGAGACATGATGCTAATGCCATCGGCATAGTCGGAAATCTGTATTGATTTATTTGTTAGGAGATTACCCCTTCCTATATTCAGCTGTGTTATCTCATGTTCAAGAGTCAGGTGGAATAGTGTCGGTGATATCCTGTCTCCTTGTTTTAATCCTGTGACTATTGAAAAGTTCTCGGTGAGTTCATTTAGTACTCTTACAGTTGCTGTTGACAAGTCCAATATTGGTTTTACTAGTCGGATGTATTTTTAGGGGATTTTACAGCTACGCAATATTTGATATAACTTGTCTATTAATTGATAAACCTCTCTAACTCATGGGGTTTTCTTTTTTGATATGTTCGTGCTCGTTACTTTCGTCTCACCATGTGATTCTGTTGCTGCGTTAATTATGTTATTTTTGAGTTTCCCAGCTTTTCTCGAGGTTATCGTTTTCTAATAATTCATTCCCAGAAATCTTCTCTGATATTCTACAGAAGAAGAAGAACATATGTGTCCAGCTTTTGGCATTTGTCTTCCCAACTTTGGTTTGCGACATTTATTACTTCTGTTCTAGCTATAGCTATTTATGATATATTGCTTATTTATGTTGTTTTATTTCTTCTAGATGATCATTCCACCAGTAGTTTCTGACAATTTGTTCCTTGCCTTATAGTACCAAAAATTAATGCATTAAAGAAGCCGATTGAATTATGTCTCTTACAAAATAAGAATGTCAATCGAAAAAGTGTCGTAAAGATATAAATACTTATGAAAACATAGGAAGCAGAAGTTTTGTCTAAAATGTCTGCTTATAAAAATCCATTTCATGTACTTATTAATTGCACTTATTTCAAATATAAATTGTTTTCATTACTCCGCAATTAAGCATTAATCCTCCTTGTATGTACACCGCTTTTAAGCAGAACACTTGACTTTCTTCTTCTTTAGTATTGTGCACTAATTTAATTCTCTGTCGTTAAAAGTCTCAACGTGGCTGCATAAAGCAGAATTTAGCTTGCAGTCGTGTAATTTCCTCTTTAGACTCGACATTCTTGTCTTAAGAGACGAAAAGCAGATAATATACTCCAGCGCTTTCTTAACAGAATCCTCAAACGCAAGCTGTTTACCATTTATGCCTGCACGTTAGGATTTACTTTACCTTTTAGACAGTTAATAGTGTTTTGCGTTATTAGGAATCCGAATTGAGAACAAGCTTGCGGTTTTGTAGTGAAAATAATATACCTGCAATTCCACTCGCTACAGGCATTTGTCGTATATTATCATAATTGTCATAATAACATCGCTGTAATATTAAAATCTTCTGGAAAATGATTTAAACCACTGAAGATAAATAGTTTATAGTATACTAGTTTATAGAAAATTAGAGACTTATCAACCAAGGGAACAGGCAGGATTCCGAAAAAGTTACGGAGCAAATGATCATCTACAAAGTATAAAAACCCTAATAGAGAAAGCAGTGGAATACAATAAACCTCTAGTTCTAATATTTATCGATTTTCACAAAGCCTTTGACACAGTTGAGCTAAGCAAAATATTACAGGCACTTAAAGAATGCAGGCTAGATTATAGATATACTAAATTATTATACAAAATATACCTTAAGAATTTGGATTGGATGACAAAGGGAATAAAAATAGATGGAGAATATCTAAACAACTTACGTTTCGCCGATGATATACTTATAATAGCTGAAGATCTAGGTATGGCAAGAGAGATGGTACAGGAACTCGTTGTGGCTACAGAAAATGTAGGTTTAAATATAAATATCTCGAAAACAAAAATCATGACCAATTTGTGCAAAACCAGAACATCAGTATTGGTGGGAAAGATATAGAACTCGTAGATAGATATAAATACCTGGGACATGAAATTATGATTGGCAGAGATAACCAGACTCATGAACTGAAGAGAAGAGTCGGCCTTGGGTGGGCAGCATTTGGAAAACTGAGAGAAACTTTTAAAAGTGAGCTGCCCACATGCCTAAAGAGAAAGGTATTTGATCAGTGCGTTCTCCCAGTCATGACTTACGGAGCAGAAACACTTACCTTAACAAAAGCAGCAGCTACCAAACTGAGAGTCACACAGAGAAGAATGGAGCGGTCCATGTTAGGAATAACTCTCCGAGGCAGAATAACAAACGAAGACATCAGGAGAAGAACCGGAGTGACTGACATCATCGAGAAGACTAAAATGGAGATGGGCAGGACACATAGCCAGAATGACAGATGGGCGATGGACAAAGAGGTTATTGGAATGGAGGCCAAGGGAAGACAAGAGAAGCGTCGGTCGACCACCTACAAGATGGACTGACGATTTAAGAAAACTCTATAAAAACTGGATAAGAGCGACGCAAGATAGACGGGATTGGAAACATAAGGAAGAGGCCTATGTTCAGCAGTGGACTCTTGAGGCTGGATAATGATGATGATGTGTATACTAGCTGCCCGATGCGGCTTTGCACTAAATTGTTTGTAGTATACTAGCTGCCCGCTACGGTTTCAAATTTTCCAATTAGAAATAAAATTCAATTAAAATACAAAAATTTTATCATACGTAGGTAGTCTTATAGTATACTATATTTTTAGTTTTTCTGTACAAAAAAAAACCAAATTGTTTGCGAATCTCGAGCAAGCTATGAACAGCTACCCGTGCTAAAAACACAGCAATCCCTTGGGATTTATTAATTAATCACAACTTGCACCAGAAACTGGACACACTTAACTTAAAAAGCAGTCAGTTTGCGTTGTAAGTACATCACTGCCTTTGAACATGATTACAGTAGCTCCAAATTGGAGCATCCAATCAAATCATTTATATATTTTTTTAACAACCAGTCCAGAATCAGAGACTCAGATTTCGTAGCATGATTTTCACCGATTAAACCGTTACCTGTTAATAGTGTGATGGTAATCCTAGTATAAACAATGAATTTAAGAATTCGGTTGGACAATTAATGATCCCAATTGGATCAGTTATAGAATTAATCAACTTGAAATAGTATTCATCAATAGTTGGAAACATTTTAAAAATTAATTCCAGTAGAAGAGTAAAAAGGAATGTTTCCATTGTCAATGTCTAATAGTCCCTGTTAGAAAACTTTTGTTGATATATTATTGTATAATGCCACTTACATATTCGTTATGAACTTGATATTGTTCACACCTCCTTCTTCTTCTACAGCACTACAGCCCAAATTAAGCCTTTAGTTTATTTTTTGCCTCCACCCTTGCTTGTCTGTGCTTGTCTTTCCAACCGGCCTCTTTCCTTGCATTCTAGCATTCAGTGCTCTTTTTGGTAGCCTATCCTCTTCCATTTTTATTACATGTCCGGCCCATTGCAATCTTTGTATTCTAATGAAGTCTGACAGTGGTATTTCCTTATAAAGTAGATAAACATGCACTCGTCATCGAACCATGCTCCCCTTCTTGCCTTTTTCTTGTTTCCCAGGGTGGATGCTGCCGCTGTCAGTACTACTGTTTTGATATTATTCTATTCTTTACATTCCTGAATCTTCAGGTCATTTCCAGGTCCAGTTTGTTTGTTCTTTGTTGCCTTTCGTTTCTTCTTGCCTTCTTTGTTAACTCTGCATCTAAGTTTGGTTTGAAGTAAAACATGGTCTGATTCACAACATGCTCCTAGCAGTGTTCTCACATTTGAGATACTACTGGCTGCCCTTTTGTATATCAGCACATAATCGATTTAACTGGTTGTGGTTCCATCTGGTAAAGTTTATGTCATTTCATGTATGTCTTTTTCTGTTGGAAGCATGTGGAACTTGCAACTATAACCACGTTTGTACTGGTGACAAAATGTATCAGAAACTCTCCATACTCGCTTGTTTTATTATGCAGAGGCTGTTTTCCTCTTGTGCCATAAAACTGAGGCTCCTTGCCTACTTTAGCATTTATATCACCCATTATAATATTGATGTCATTTTGGGCGCATTGTCATATTAGTATATGATATCTCCCGCTGTTGGTAAAAGCTTCCCTTTGTATGTTGTGCTTGTTATTCTGTTGAGCAGTGAATGTTTATCATTGTTACGTTGAAAAAGTGGGTGCAGATTGTTAACTTTCATATTCTTTTACTGACTACCTAGAAGTCTATGATTTTTGACTTAAAATTATTATTCACCACAAATGGAACTCCACATTCTTTGCTTCCTTATTCCTTCCCACTATATAGAATTGTGTCCGTTTTAGTGTCCCTGACACCTTTCCTTTCCCCCCACCTTTTCCCCAGCCATCTTGTCTCCTGAAGAGCAGTAATTATGAGCTTATATCTGTTTCTGGAGAAGAATATGGATTATCAATAAACACCCAGAAAACCAAATTTATAAGGATATCAAAAACCCAAAATAATGGTGAAAGCCTGACAATTAACGGTAGTGCTTTAGAACAAGTTGAAAACTGCCACTATTTTGGCACAATAATTAATCACACACACGATTACTCCAAAGAAATCAAAGTTCGAATAGAGAAAGCACGTACAAACTTCAACAAAATGAGAAAGGTACTTTGTGCAAGAGAACTAAAATTGGACTTGAGAGCTAGGCTGGCAAAGTGTTATATTTTCTCGACTCTGCTTTATGGGATAGAAGCATGGATACTTAACGCGTCGACTGCTAAAAAGTTGGAAGCATTAGAAATGTGGGTGTACAGAAGAATCCTGAAGATATCATGGACCGAGCATGTAACAAACAACGAAGTCATAAGAAGAGTCAACAAAAGAATGGAAATATTGGAAACTATCAAGACACGAAAGCTGGAGCATTTTATGCGTATAAAAAGATACAACCTACTTCAATTGATTATACAATGGAAAATCCAGGGCAAGAGAAGTGTAGGAAGAAGAAGAATCTCATGGTTGCGCAACTTGAGGGAATGGTACGGATGCACATCGATTGAACTATTCAGAGCAGCAGCATCTAAAATCAGAATAGCCATGATGATTGCCAACCTCCGTCGCGGAATTGGCACGAAAAGAAAATATTTGTTTAGTTCTTGCAGAAGTGCGGTTTGAGCTCCTGGTTTATTTAGTGTCCTCACATTCCATTTTCCAAACTTATAGTCCATGTTTCGTAGCTTGAGTCCTTTCCGAAAGTTCCGTTCTGTATTCCGAGGAAAATGTTCAGGTTTCATCGCGCCTTCTTAAAGGATCTGATTGCTGCGTAAATATCTTAATGTTGGATCGAGTGCCTCAAATGTTCGTTTGTGCGTCAGCGTACAATCATCCCGAATTATTCTTTTACAGTTTTGAAGCAATGTTCGATTATTGACTATACGTCATAAGCAATGACATTTAAAATCGCTGGTAGCTTCAAGCTTTGTTTCTGAGAGAAGGGTTTATTATACAGAAAATGTGCTACTAAACAAATATTTTTATTTTAAATTATCTCTGCTACATTTCGTGCAAGAAACATTTTTTTTCTATGACGTACAGATTATTGGTAAACATTTTCCCCCTACGAGGGGGACTTTAGGTAGAAATCCAGTGGTAGGAGTTGCAAACTTTTTTGCATCTTTTTTGGGATACCAAAATTGACATTCTAGGCAAAATTCAGCTTGTTCGTATAATTTTTAGAGGTTCAGTAGCATTTTCATCTCTGACGATTGGAGTATAGAATAAAGACAAAAACTAACTAGTTATTGCTTAAAATAAATCGTAATTAAAAATCATCGGCGTTATAAAAGCATATTGGTTTTATTACTTCTTCTTAAACCTGTTAATCTCGAACATAATATTCATCTCGAACATACCCTAGAAGATTCGTTACACTTATCCATTCATTGCAATATATCTGAGTCACTCTCTGCTATTTTACACTTTGACTTTCCATCCCAAATTTTTATGGTTAGCTACATTTTAATTTTTTTACTCCTTTTTGCGGCAATCTGTCTATCAAAATTAATCCAGATTGTAATACGTTTACAGCTTCCTGTTTTTTTATCGAACGGGAATCAAATTTGCAAGTTTTTTTAGTGCGATTACCACATGTACATAAACTATTATTACGTTTATTCACTCGTGTCTAATTGATTATGACAGCATTCGACATTAACATGCGCTATATGTTGATCAGTTCATGACACACCAAACATTGCGTTACTACCGAATTCGCGATAATGCAAATCCCGTGTTCCTGCTTATTTTTCGTACATCACTGCACGAGCATAATACCGTACGGCATAACTTTCCTATTATTGCACTATAATTCTGGTATAAATTTCGACTATTAAAGCCGTT